TTGGTTGCTCTTTTCGGCGTTCTTTCCGCCTCGAGTTCTGCGGTTTGATTGCTGTTGTTTGTTGGCATTTGCAGCACCTCGTCCCTTCGGTTCTGGTGTTTCGGCCTCGGTTGATTTTACAGGTGTAGATGGGCTTTCAGAAGCACTAGCCTTTGCTTCGGCAGTAGATATGTTCTCCTTTTCTGGTGTCTTTGCATCTGCATCTGCTTTGGCAGCGTCTTGACGTGCCTTTCTATGCGCACTTCCGGGACTGAGACCAAGATCTCGTTGAAGGATCCTTGCTGCAGCCAAAATTCCCGCACGTCGGCTCTTGGGTGCAGCTTCCTGGGCGCTGGAGTCATTGGGCTGGCTTTTAGCATTGGTCTTCGAGGTCTCCGCATTCGGCTCAGAAGTCGCCTTCTTGGTGAGGATCTTGACGGTTTCCTTGGGAGTCTTTTCTCCCCTTTCGGCCTTGGACTCTTTGCCCTTCTTCTTACCCGAGTCTTCATCCCTGGACGAGTTCTTCCCCTTGGCGTTCCTAGAATCTTGCGCATGTTTGGAATTTTTGGAAGATGAACTCTCTTTGGCTTTGCTTGCCTTCTTCTCCTTGAGGTACTCGATGAGTGGCGTAGTGGTGACTTTAGCCTCCGCCTTTCCAAGGTCGTCGCCCTCTTCTCCATCGACGGTTTCTTTTGGTGGTGCTGGGTTCGCCAGTTCCTCCAAGAAGGCCATGAATTCAGGATCCTGATCGATCGTTCCCTGTCGAGCATCGGTGCGCTTCTTATTGCTTGGAACCTTCTTGTAAATAGCAAACTCAACTGAAGGGGGGCCAATCAAAGAAGGGCTATTAAAAGATGCCTTCGCATCCTCCCAGACAGCGGTTCGCACAGCATCGCTCAGAGGCAAGATATCATCCTTTTTCATAACATGAACGTAGGCACGACCAGGCCGTGATGGTTTTGAGGGGCTTTGGATGACGTTAGTAATGCAAAATTCGGCTACAGTGTTCAGTGCCATACTCAGTAGAAATCTTTCCTCCAGCGAAGGAAAACCAGTCGACCTTGCCCTTGCCCAACTCCCACTCGCTTCCAAGAATTGATACAAATTCTGCCTGGGTCATCCCAGGAGGTAGACGACGTATTACGAGCTTCTCACCCTCATTATGAGCCTTGGTTTTGGTGGGTTTTGGAGTTTCGCTCTCATTCGCATGCTTTCATCATAGTTAGTCAGAGTGTCGACGTTTCTCGCGAATCTCGTCGGGTCACCTTATTGGCCTCGGTAGATCTTGCATTAGAGCCTCTCCCTCTAGCTTTTCCATGAGAACTGTTCTCGTGTGACCCCTTTCCCTGAAACAGGTCAGATATCTATGTCCCTTGCTCCCGAACGTCACTAATCACCTTTGTTGGTTCTGAGGTCTGATTTGACGATGTCTGAGGACCTCCGTTTGCCCGTCGAGACAGGACTTGTGGTGCTTTAGCTGACATCTCGCATACCGCAAACACCCCGGGTTGTAACTGATGATACCGTTATGTTGATCGATATGGCGAAAGGCTCAAGTGAGTGCTGTAAGGCTTGATGAGTCGCGGCCTTGCTGCCCCGCCAGTGGCAGTGGGGCGATACTGGAGAGATATGCGATTATCCACCGAATGATGAATTCCTCACGTGTAGTCTCTGGTATAAGTTCGTATGGTATTTTGAAAGGTGAAAGGGAGTATGTAGGTTAGTCAAAGAGGAATATTGAAGTGGGTAAGAATCATTTACAAGATTAACCAAAATAGTAGGTGAATATCGCAACCAAAGTTTCTCTCTCTGGTCATGGCCGAAGAATTTCCGGCGTTTCACTATCGCACCCCTCCATAGCAAGGCAAGCAGGCCTAAAGCATAAGCCCCACCCGATTCGCCGCATGTGTACCAGTACTACGACCAACACCTCACATATCGCAGGACAGGCTTCGCTGGGCTGGCATATCTCCCCCCGCCATCATACTCCCACACAGACCTTCCATTGAAGGGGCATGCTAGATCATGGCTTCAGGCGTACCTCGACCGGGCCCTGCGAACCTGGGGCCCAATGCCGGCCTTGATGAGTGGCTAGAGGAGGCCAAGCAATGTCATTACTTACCTGAGCGCGCTATGAAGGAGTTGTGTGAGAAGGTTAAGGAGATTTTGATGGAAGGTGAAGACCGCCGGACTCAGATGCACCGCTGACCTGCTGACTCGGTACCTCAGAATCCAACATTCAGCCAGTCTGCACCCCCGTCACTGTGTGCGGCGACATCCATGGCCAGTTTTACGACCTTCTTGAGCTCTTCCGGGTATCTGGCGGTATGCCAGGCGAGTCCAACGTGCAGGCGCCGAAGACATCTACCACCGTCATTACCTCGGACGATATCGAGCCACCAACAGAGATCACAAACCCCAAGTTGAGGAAGAAGATAAAGGCTTCGGGCGAGAATGCAACGACCAGCGGCGCGGAGGAGACCGAGGCAGTCGAGGCAGAGGAGGATCCTGATTCCACAATGGCGGACCAGACCGAATCTGGCGTCACAGTGAACAAGTCAAGTCAAAGTGCTGATACTCGATACATTTTCCTGGGAGATTTCGTGGATCGAGGTTACTTCAGTCTGGAGACATTCACATTACTAATGTGCCTGAAGGCGAAGTAAGCACCCTTTGGTGCTGGTCGCGTGTCTTGGCTAACCATATCCCACAGATACCCTGACAGAATAGTGCTTGTTCGTGGTAACCACGAGTCTCGACAAATTACCCAGGTGTATGGATTCTACGAAGAGTGTCAGCAAAAGTACGGTAACGCCTCTGTCTGGAAGGCCTGCTGTCATGTGTTTGATTTCCTTGTCCTTGCCGCCATCATCGACGGTGAGATTCTCTGCGTCCACGGTGGTTTGAGTCCTGAGATTAGGACAATTGACCAAATCCGAGTTGTTGCCCGTGCGCAAGAGATTCCCCACGAGGGCGCGTTCTGTGACTTGGTGTGGTCAGATCCAGAAGATGTCGAAACGTGGGCTATCAGCCCTCGTGGCGCTGGATGGCTATTCGGAGACAAAGTCGCAACTGAATTCAACCATGTCAACGGTTTGAAATTGATTGCCCGAGCCCATCAGCTCGTTAACGAGGGTTACAAGGTATTTAGCGTCATTATATCTCGACAAGGGTTGTACTAACGATGATCAGTATCATTTCCCAGAGAACTCAGTAGTGACTGTCTGGTCGGCACCCAATTACTGCTACCGCTGTGGTAATGTTGCTTCTATCATGGCTGTGGATAAGGACTTGAACCCCAGGTTTAGCATTTTCTCTGCCGTTCCTGACGATCAGAGACATGTCCCGGCAAACAGGAGGGGGCCTGGTGATTACTTCCTGTGATGAAGAACGGTGTACGTATAACGGACTTAATGGCATATGTTGCATGTAGAATAGCATAGGGTCAAAATACCCACGGTCCATCGGTGATTTTAGTGGGAATGCAAATGGATGGTTATGGGTTGGGTAGAGTTGGTATCTCAATTACAAGCAAGGATGATGATTTCACTTATTACATTTGTGACATACGTGATTTGTCTTGGCTGTTCCAGTGAACAATAACTGCCTTCTACAGTATCTCATGGTTCCCCATATGACACCGACAACTCTGTTTTGGTAGACGTTGTCTGAACCCTTCTCGGTGGATCACTCACCAAACTCCACCTCCCACCAACATGCCAAAACCAAAGGCCCCCAAGAGCAATCCGATACAAAACGCCATCAACGAATGGTTTGGTTCAGGGCTAGTCTCCGAAATAGACACAGATCAAGAATGGAAAGCCCAACTCTTGAACAGCGCACCCAAGCGGTTTACCATTTATGAACCCATGGTCTTGTTACCCACAGGAAGCTTCACATCCTTACCCTGGACAACCACATTACAAGACGCCGGCCCAGATTCATGCCAACAACTCTGGTGCAAGATCCTAGCACGACTGTCGACACAGGCAAAGGAGCCATTAACTCATCTTGCCGTGAATGAAGGCATACCTCTACACAAGGCAGGTGAGGAGGTGGATGAAAATGTGAGAAGAAGTCCAAGTGGGCTGCGCACTCTCTACGGAGATTTTGGATCTTTAGATGCCTCGGCAGATGAACCTTCTGAAGACGATTTTGAAAAGACTTTATGGGTTTCGACGAAGCAAAACGGGATATTCCAAACTTGGGCACCCAGATGGACAATGTTTAGTCGGGGAAATGTCAAAGAGAAAGCAAGACTGTTGGATATGGGAAACAAGACACTTCAGGGCTCATGGGCGGTTGACCTCTACGCTGGAATCGGCTACTTTGTTTTTTCATATGCTCGACTTGGCATGAGAGTCTTATGCTGGGAGATCAATCCATGGAGTGTCGAAGGTCTACGGCGTGGCGCCAAAGCAAACCGATGGAGCGTTAGAATTGTCCAAGGTGAAGACTTGGCCCTACCAAACGAAGACATCGTAAGCGGAGGAGAGCAGATCATCGTATTCCTGGAGAGCAACGAGAAAGCTCTACAGAGGATACAGTCGCTACAGGGTAATGGTATGGCACAGGACATACGGCATATCAACTGTGGTTTCCTACCAACAAGCGAACCAACTTGGAGAGACACATGGGATATTTCATCTCCGGCCAGTGAGACATGGCTGCATCTTCACGAAAACGTTGGCGCAAACGATACAGAAGCAAGACGCCAGGAGATACAGCGCAAATTCGACGACTGGAGCCAAGGAACAGATTGGACAGCCAAGGCCGAGCATATCGAGCTTGTCAAGACATTCGCACCAGGCGTCTGGCACTGCGTCTTTGACGTTCATGTTTACAAGATCTAGCTATATCGTGCATCAATCATGCTTATTATCCCAATAATATCGAGTACATAGAATTTCAGTTTCATCCATCATGATGTCATGCGCCCCTATCACACACGCCCCGAGTCCCTGCCCCAGTCATGGTATTCTAGGTAAAGTAAAATACAGTTCGGTATCGCCTTCTATCGTCTATTGTCGTCGGAACTTTTGAGGGATGTTGGCCTCGACGATGGAGAGCTTCTGCATTGCTTCGAGGCGTTCCTGAGCATCCTCCATCTCATCGTGTTTCTTAAAATGCTCAATGTCTTCGGGGTGTGTCAGGTCCTCGAGTTTGGTGTTGTCGTCGTGGTACTTCTCCCAATGATGGATCTCATACTCGTACTCGTCATCGCCGTGGTGGCCGGGGCCAGTGTTGAGGTCTGGGAGTGTCTTTCCAGACTTGATAAAGTCCATCCACTCCTGGCGACTGACAGAGGAGTCGCCGTCCTTATCGAGAAGGCCGAGCAGAACATCACGGACCTCGTCCTTCTTCTTCTCGTTCATACCCTTGTTTGATTCGTCGAAGAGACCGTATGTTCGCATCAACTCAGCAGCTTGCCACCAGCCGTCGCTGTTGTAATCGTGGAGGGTGAAGAAGGAGTCGGCGTCCCAGCCTTGAACGTGATGTTCCTCTGGAAGTACGGTATTAGTATGTTTGCAACGCAACTCGGAGGGAACAGGAGAGAAACATACCCGCCATATGTTTGGTCATCCAGTCCGCATTGGCATCAACAACGGGCTTCTGCGAGTGAGCGCCGCCATGGGCAAAGACGGTGGTCGCAAAAGCGACACTGAGCAAGACACCGGTGCGCATTGTATTATAGACCTGGCGCGAGAAATACAGAAGAAGAACAAGAAGTCTAGACTTGTGCGACGCAGTTATAACAAGGTAATTGACGTTGGGAGAAGCCGACTTTAAAGGAGTGAAGTTCCAATCTGAAAGGACCTGGCAACGACTCAAGCGAACGTGGTCGCTACTGATCTGGATTTGGAGGTGGGCTGCCAGGGGTCTCGAAGCGCTGAGCCACTAAAAGCTTATCTCCCAGGTACAACGTTCTGGCTGTTGGATGGCCTCAACGCTGAGTATCGATAACCTGGGCTGGATCGATCTTTGAACTTTGGAGGTATGTAAATTAACTTTATGTCTTCCACGGACGATCTAGAACAGGCACATCCTTCTTGTAGGTAAGATCAATCCCACAACTAAGCTTTGGGTTGGACTCTATGGAACTTCCCTGAATCGATCCCTACAAACTCATATCTATTCCTTGTCGTACCGAGGGATCTACAAGCAATATTTGGTGGGGAATTCTAATCAAAGAGTCCACATCTCGTGATTTGGCGTCAGAAATAAACCACTGTCTAACGCGTCTCCATATCAATCGCGTTCTCCATCTAAATATTGACTTCTTGTTATCAAGCTACATCAAACCTGGCGGCACGATAACCTGAACCTCAACATGAGTCGTCAAATTGAGCAAGCACTGCTCTCATTGATGCCAACACATGGCTCTGATTTACCTCCAGCACTCGTTGAACTTGCAGGTTCTTTGCTTGCCCAGTCTCGGCACCAAGCAAGTACCCTGAAGGCAGACGAAGAGATTGCGAGAACATATGCTTGCGCAAACATCGCGTGTGATCGGTATGTATTATGAGATCAATTCGGGATATAGAGCTGACAATATCAGTCTAAAAATCACTCTTGATCTTCCACCCATCGAACCAAGACCGCCAATTCCTCCTCGTATCTATAAGCGTCTCTACATTCATCTTGATAACATTCTGCGCGGCAACTCAACTCCTACAAGAGCTACTCCAGGACGAACAAGAACACCAGGTTCAAGATTCCGCGATGCCGATAACTCGCCCGCCTCTGGCTCGCGGCCACTACCATCAAGAGCAACACCAACAAAAGAGCAAAGTTTAGCGCAGTTTAGGACACCAACAAAGGGGGCTACCGATACACCGACGAAATCTACTCGCAAGAAGGAAGCTTTCGCCAGAGTCAATCTTCAAGCATGGATTCATCCTACCACAAGATGGGTATGTGCAGAAACTGACCACAAGAAGCTGGCTCCTACGATTTTGGCTGGTATGGAGAACATCATAACACCTGTAGGTCGACGAACAGATGACGAGTGGGTTCTGCAGAATCTAACGGCTTTGTTTGCCGCCATCTACTTTTTCGTAACTATGCGGGTCAAGGCTCTTGTTTCTGGCGAAGGTATTGATAGGGAAGGATATGTCCCTCTTCGAAAAGAGATCCTTGCCCTACTCGCCAGAGCACGAAGTGAAGTTACAGTTAAGGATCTGGCGGAGGAGGATGCTTGGGAAGGTTGGTCGACCGTCAAGTCCAAGGATTTCGACGATGCGGTTGCCAAAGTCAATGAACGAGCATGGCTCACCAGTGATTGGTATCAAGGAATCGCCGATGTCGTCAAGCTGTCCCAAAGAAGCCACCTTGAAGACGTCGAGATGCAGAATGAGGAGACGATCCCAAAGATGCAAATAAAAAAGGCAGACACCATGTTTCAAGACAAGTACGACTTTCTCAGCGAGGCGAAGCGGACAAAGTACATGCACTGGAGGGAAGATATGTTCGCCAAAATTGCTCTATCGACAGCTCAAGGTGCTGCCATGGAGGTAGATACATAGTGAAGTGCTAAGCCCTGCTTTTCACCCAAGAATTATATGAACACGAACTATCCTCTTTATTTCCCAAACATAGAAGACCCATCAAAGTCGTTGTCTATTCAACATGAATCCGTTTACTGAGAGGATCGAGCTCGCTTCTGGAAGCCCCCGTTCTGGCCATCGCCACCACCGAAGCCTTGGCCGGGGCCAGCGACGAAGGTTGGGATAGCACCTCCAGGCTGGCTTCCGCTGCCGCTGCCGCTGCCGGCCCCTGGGGTCTGGACGGGAGTCTCAGGGACATCGGGGGTGTTGTTGTTGCCGCCACCGAGGCCAGCACCGGGAGTAGGGGTAGTGATGGCACCGTTACCACCGCCGAAACCGTTACCAGGACCAGCGACGAAAGTGGGAATGACACCACTGGGCTGAGTCTGATCACCTCCAGGGAGGTTGCCGTTTCCGCTGTCGTTTCCACTTTCGCTACCAGGTTGAGTGAGGTCACCTCCGGCCGAGCTTCCACTGCCGGGTGTCTGAACGGGAGTGTCGGGGCTGCCAGAGTTGCCGCCCTCACCGAAACCATTGCCGGGTCCAGCAACGAAAGTAGGGATGGTACCGCTGGGCTGGCTTCCACCTAGACCACCACCAGGCTGGTTTCCGCTGCCAGGAGTCTGAATGGGAGCGCTAGGAGTGCCGGGGCTGTTACCATCGCCGAAGCCGTTTCCTGGCCCAGCAACGAAAGTAGGAATGACACCGCTGGGAGCAGTGCCTGGGCCGTCAAGCCCACTGCCTGGGGTAGGGACAAGAGTGGGAGCGACAGGAGCCTCAGTGGCATCGCCGTTTCCTCCGTTTCCTCCATCGCCACCCCCGCCGAAACCGTTACCAGGTCCGGCAGAAAAGGTAGGGATGGCACCGCTCGGCTGGCTACCACCGTTTCCACCCTGAGAGTTACCACTGCCTCCAGGGGTCGAAGGCGAGTCTTGGTTGCGAGACCGACCACGGCCTCGGAAGGACGCACCTTGTACACCACCTCCGGTGCCCGGAGTTTGAATAGGAGCGGGGACAGAAGCACCACCGCCGGTGTTGCCATCATTTCCTCCAGGCAGACCACCGCTTGGAGCTGCGGCGGGGGGAGTATTGGTGTTACCGCCACCGCCGAAGAAGCCACCTCCGTTACCACTGTTGCCTCCGTTACCTCCTCCAAAGAAGGGGAGGTTTCCAAGGCCGGGAATACCACCACCGCTGCCACCACCAAAAAAGCCACCACCAGAGCCTGGAGTGATAGCAGGAGCATCATTACCACTGCCGCTGCCGGGCAAGTTGAAGCCACTTCCAGGGGTTGGGATGGCGCCTCCGTTGCCGCCTCCTAGGCTGGGAAGGCCAGAAGGAATGAGGCCAGAGCCACCACTGGGAAGGGCAGTGGGGAGAGCACCGCCGAGGCCAGCGCCGGGTGTTTGGGCATCGCCGCCGTTGCCAAACTGTGGGCGAGGTCGGGCCATGGCCGGAGAAGAAAGGGCCAAAGCCAAAGTGACAAGGTTAAGGACAGCCATTTTGATCTTGAAGGAAGGATATAATGTACTTGAAGGAAATAAAAGAGGGAAAAGATCGTGGAAAAAAGACTGACCACAGATGCCTGCAACTGAAAGTCTAGTGATGAAAGAAAAGAGCGAGGGAAAGTGGCGATGGAGAGAACCAGAAGCTGAGCAGAAACACAGAGAAACGGACGTTTATATACAATGTGCCTCGAAACGAGAACATGGGATGGACGGTCGTTAAAGTCTGTCAACTACTCCTATTACCGAACGTAACCCAGAACTCGCGTAGACGTTCCATATTGACGCCAGCGGATCCCAGCTCCGATGGCAAGCTGATGGTTTCAAGATCCAGAGGCTCTGACAAACACAAGCAGGGAGTTGATTAACCACGATTGGATCCCCTGGCGATCTCTGCAAGGGACAAGGGGTAAACTTTTGACTGCATTAGTGGAAAGATCTGATGGATTGAGTTTGTTAGTCTGCAGGAAAAAAAGGCCGATGGATAAGGCTAACAAGCTCAAGTTTCGTGTTTAGAGACCTTGTCGATAATCGATATATCGGGGGCCGATGTGGGCGTCTATCCGTAAGTCTTGGCCTCATTGGCAATCGATGCTGAAGATGACGCGGCTCATGTTTATCAATCACGTTTTTGGAGAATGTTTCCTTGCTGTTGCATGGATTGAAGCTCCGTTGATCAAGGGTTTCTCCGTCGTTAGGTGTTTCAGGATCTTTTAAGGGGGCATCTTGATGTTTGAGTCAGGATTTGGTTTCGACTAGAGCCGTACTCCGAAACTTGAGGCTCCATATTTTTAGTCGACGGACATGTTTAAGTCAAACGAAACGACATATAGATCATACCATCCCTTGAGTTAATGGGGGATTTAGAGACGGGCGTTGGTGGATTATTGGGTTTTGGTGATGGTGTCACGGAGAATTCCAGAAGTTTAAAGTTGTCCTGATGGTGTCATTCGGTGATGTTTGTTTGATTCAAGGTTATGATAATCGGCAGTAATAACGGCATGTGAACAAAGGCAATGATCAGCTTGTGCCTTGAGAGCAATTGGCTCGTTGTCATAGATCTATTCTGTATACAGTGTCGTGAACAGTAAGTACCACATATTGATGCGGAATACGGGGAGAATAAAGACAGTTGAAAGCGGCTATCACAGCGAGAGAAAAGGCTGGAAAACACGTGAGAATATCGATCAAGGGCAGAAATAGAAACAATATCTGCGTCGGGTTGCCAAACAAACATCACATCTTGCTCGATCATGATGCGATTGGTAGACACTTCAGTTTCATCGGAAAACTCATCACATCCAAGCAGCTGGACTCGCGGAGGTTACCGCCTGAGTTAAGAGTTGCGCCGATCTTGGGAGGAGTTCCGATGCAAACACGTCGCTATTTAGCGGTTCGACTTGATTAGTTTGATGGGCACAGGGGGTATATCTTGTGCTCGGATATTGGCTTAATGCAGCAAATAGCACACATTCACACATAAACACTCCGAGGTAAGAAGGATTAAAGTTGGATACAGAAACCAATGAATAAAGTAGAATGCTCGTAGATGATGAGAGTATTCGGAAACGCTGTAATATGAGCTGAAATGCGAGTGTCTACTCATGAGACCCAGTGTTGTGGGTGGTATAACAGAGCTGAACTATACTCCCCCCTGAAAGACAATCAGCCCAGTTTTCCAGGAACAAAGGGGTGCCCAGCACTCAGCCCTCCATCTACTGCCCATGCCTGTCCATTAACATAACTACTCTCATCACTTCCCAAGAAGAGCGCAACACGAGCAATCTCATCAGCATGACCGCCCCGCTTCATAGGGTTCAACTGTCCGATCTTCTTCTCGCTTCCACGAGCCCTCGCGGCTTCATAAACAGGCGCTGTCATGCCAGTCTCGATGAGGCCTGGGCAGATGGCGTTCACACGTACACCTGTTCCAGCGAGCTGGTATGATATCGTCTGGGCGAGAGATACCACGGCTGCTTTGGAGGCCGAGTACGGTGTGGACCCAGCATTGGAGCGAATTCCTGCAACAGACGCTGTACCGATGATACTGCCGCTGGCTTGGGGCTTGTCGGCAGAAGTTTGCATCATAGCTGGTGCCGCGTACTTGGCAGCTAGAAAGACACTGCAATATAATTTAGATGATACCGATCCAGTATATAATGTGGAGAAATTCGCATACCTTGACGTGTTGGTGTTGAGTATCGACATAAACTCATCTTTGCTGAAGTCAGAGAATAGCGTGGTTCGACCGACGACTCCAGCATTAGCAAAGAAGACGTCCAAGCGACCGTAGCGGTGAATCGCGTCATCGACTACCTCCTTGACCTTGTCCTCATCCGCGGCATCGAAACGCCTCGTGTGGATTTCCACCTTGGGAAACGCAGCGTTGATCTCCTTCTTGTGAGACTCAAGGTGCGTATCGTCAAAGTCGCAGAGATACAATGCTCGGGCACCGCTCTCAGCGTATTGATGCGCTGTAGCACGACCGATACCCAGCGGTGAGTTTGTGCCTGTACCGAGTCAGCGATATTCCTTGAAGGAGCTCTCGCGTGCCATTACCTGTTATGATGACGACTTTGCCCTCGACGCGGAGCTTACTTGACCCCGGAGCTACCTTGTTGATAGGTGGAAGAAGTTGCTTGCCAATGGCATTGATACGACTCTGCGCCTTGTCAGACATGGCGTGAGTCTGTCTAGTCTAGTCTACCTGCAACTGTGGTATTATGGCAAGTAGATTGAGATTACGAAAAAGGCGGGTTTTGATGCTATTAATCTCTTTATCATGGAGCCGAGGCTTGGAGTTCTTGTATCTGGGGTATGCCCCTGTTGTGGTAAGAAGCTTCCCCGGCTAAAGTGGAGCCATGAGGGGAGTCCACCCCGGAGCCGAGGCTCGGGGAATCTATTCAGGTCTTCCGGACTTTGTTCCGCTGAGTCACGTGTACCCTCACATATATTCTTATACAATCGTTCGTTACTCATATTGCTTATTAGAGTCAGACATCGCTAGCTGATAGTTACACAAAGCCTACTCCGCTTCAACAACATCGTAAATTGGAATCATCTCCAAAAGCGTCGCCTCCAACATCTCCTTTTGCTCCTGAAGAAACTCCCTTGCAGCGTCGGGATCGAACTTGAAACCCGCAGCTTGCTGCTCGCGAAGCTTCTTGGCGTGTTCTCGAAATCGTATCTCAAGAACGTCTGCTCGGTAGGTGCAGTAGTCATATACAAGTTCTGACTGGTTGCTTATGGGTCGAGAACCCGTGAGGACCAACTCGTCCTTGACAAAGGGTGACTTGGGACGGAATGCTGTGATGAAGGATATTCTTTCTTTACCAATGGCCTTGAGTGCAGCATGTTGGACGTAGCGACCTTGAAGAATCACTGCAGTGCCCTAGAAAATATTAGCTCATACGTCCATGTTGAGTGACCATGTAACTCACCATGGTTGGACCCCGAACTTTGAGAACTTCACCATCACCCTTGAGGACTGCAGTCTCGCCACCTTTCATATCCGAACAGTCTGAAAGCATTGTAACACATACAAACGGAAAGCTATCATAGTGCCAAGAAAAGCCAACGTTGTCGCTAGCTCCCTTCTTCTCGTCTTCGCCATCGCTGAAGAGCAGGTTGCAATGGCCGATCTCATACTCGAATGCGTGAACTAGATCAATACCAGCCACTTTTGAAACAGCTTGCTGGACTTCGGGACTCTTCCAAAGAGCGTGAGCAAAAGGTGCTTGTCTGTAATCTGTTAGCTAAGCAACCTATCATTGTGTCTGGAGTGATGAACTTTTGAGTATATCCTCGAATTTGGTTCTTTGTAAAAGTTGAAGCATACTGGCACGTTCGTAGAACATCCTTACTGAGAAGTTCCCGTCGGACTTGCTTGACAGCGGCTTCAGTGAAAAGAGAGAAAGGGTCGGAGGCGGCGATGGGAGAGACACCCTGGTTCTCGTATCCCCATTCCTTCATGCTGTAAGTCCGCTTGGGGAACTCGAAGTTTACATGCTTCGTGGCATCGAACTCTTCGATGGGTGTGGCTTGAGCTGTGTCGATGACATCTTGTGGGATCTTGTTGGTAGGTCGGAAAGGGGCTTTGTTGGTTGGACCAATGACGAACGGTGCTGGCTTTCGGACCGGAAGAGAGGTAGGTGTACTGTAGATTACTGAAGGCATAGTAACTAGAATTTATAGAGATTCGATACTCGTTTCCAGTGTAGATAAAGTCCCAGTTGAGATGAGTGTGTGTGTCGGTCCTGAATTGCAGAGCTCAAGATAAGAAAGGCAAGGCATGAAGAAGTTCCAAAGTTTTATATCTAAAATACTCCTGTATGCCCTCCAGTTGACTACAATAGATACACTAGATTGTCCAATGGAAAGGGTGATCTCTATCACAGATGCATTGTTGAGGGGAAGGGTGTATATCGAGCTACCATTCTTTGGTCAAATGATCATGAACTTCATTAGTCTATGCCAAATGCCGATGCAAGAAGTGCGAATAAGCATGTCAACAGTTGAACCGATTGCCCAAAATAGACTGATATCCCGGATCTAGACCTTCTAGTGTTTCTGTTACTTCTGGGGTTCATGCTTCTGTTGCACCGTCTTGTCGAGTTTGGAGATAGTTCGGCTCAGCTGGTGTGTAGGTCGGATATAGTTCCCGCGGCAAGGGAGTCTGGTCTCCGGTTGAAGGTAGATAGTAGCAGAGATGGTCAATAACAGGGGTCTATGTGGTATCGGACTTGATATTCGTACATAGAACATGTAAAAGGAGAAGAGCTGGCATTTACCACACTACCTACTAATTATGGAAAAAACAACCCTGATCAAAGAGGTGACGTCCACAATATAAGACACAAAAGATGGACGAAGCATTAAGGTTTCTTTAAGAGTAGACCCTGTGGCTACTTTTCAGATGATCACTTCTAGATCACTGGCTCAACGTTCACAATCATCTGGTCACTATTGTGCTGTTGTAATAACAGCCTGTTTCTTGGGAAACTAGATGAAACCCAAAATGACAAGGTGTAGCAGTTTAGCTTCTGCATACCAGACATTGATGTCACACCCCCGAGCATTATCAATATGAGATTCATGTTGCAACTACGTACTTTCGTGTTTCTTGACAGCACTCACCTACATACACTGACAATATGGGGATTCATATATCTATAAAGGTCTTCACTCGTGTGACTTCCTTACCATATCTCTTGACTTGGATGAGAAATGCCAAAAAGGGGTGGAAGTGTAGATGATATGATTCTGATACCTGTCCCCCTTCCTGTCTCGTCATGATCGTGTGACACCTTATCTCGGCAGTATAGTTCCGTTTTCTGGCTAGCTTTCTTACCTTTATCATTGTAGGTGTCTTTGCTCAAACTGAGAAGCCTGCCTCCGTGACAAGTAAGGTGTATGTTTGTTGACATACCTCGACACCGCATACAAAGTCTCTTCACAGATAACTACATGGCATCGTAAATAATGCATATATATGGTCAATTATCTTCAAGTCTGCCAGCTTTGACGATCTTTTCTGGTTATCTGGTACCGCATAAACTTAACATCAGCTTTCTCATGACGCTTCCACTTGTGTGTATCATATCGATAGCTTCACATCCCGATTACCTTCACCGTGACTCTCATGCAAGACTTGTAAAGAGTTTTCCTTGGGGGGGATGGTCCACGGCTGAGGTAGTATCTTGATAGTTGATCCCGAGCTCACTAGCCATCAAACCGTGCTCGCCGTATCTAGGCTCGGCTTCGATTCCGATCGGGTCTGAAGCCCGAAATGCTATCGCGAGGGCAACATTTGAAGAGCCGAATTCAATTCTTGGGGTAGAGAGGGGAAGCAATATTGGAGAAGGACCCCAAAACATTTGAGCTCGGTTGATGGCTCCGACGTCATGATAAGTTGGCTCTGAGGCTCAGAACTTTGCTTGATACGAAAAATGCTATAATTGGAGAAAAGCGTCTTTATAACGACGTGTTCAGTTTCCATTTCCTCCTCAAAGATAACAACGACAACCTTCATAGAACGTTGGAGGATAGTGAATTTGGCATTGGACCTGGCCAACGATGTTAAATATATATACGAACCGTCCCAATGAATTATATGTCGCCTGGAGTTGCTGATCTGAGTCTCACATCATACAAAACACAATAATTCACACCTCACACCTCCCAACTCCCAACTTCGCTGTAAACTAGGTAGGCAACCGTCATACCCAACTCATGGCTATCAGACCCCCAATCTGCGCATCTATCTTTGTCTCTATCGGCACAGGTCTCGCCCATGACGGCCAAGGAAGTCTTTTTCTCGCTTACACCTTATACTCTGTCATGGTAGGCCTTGTCAGTAACTGCATCGCTGAGATAGCAGTGCCTTTATCAGAACGGCGGAACATTGGGTTGAACTTCTTTCTTTATTAAGCTCTTTTGGTGTCGTTCGAGAAATGGGCCTTGAATGCTATGTACAAGTTTTGGAGCGATGATACACCTGTTGCAGCAGACTCTATTTGATTACTATTAACATGCAAATCGTCGTCTTATCAACGTAGGTCCCGTGAATAGACGGGGATCTTGGAAGGTTTCAGGGGTTCTTCGGCTCCATCTGGACAGCCACTTTCACCTGTGTTGGCCCTGAGTTTGTCTCCATGATCGAGGGAGAAGCCAAGTTCTGCGCATTCATCTCAAGAACACCTTCAAAAACATACACATCCGGTTCGGTATCTTTTTCATCCAGTCATCTCTATGTGTTGGTATCATTCTCTTTTGCAGTTGCCCTACCCTTACAGGTATTGTCAACGGAGGTGACAGTGTTGGAATAGGAGCTACCCCCCCTATGTTATCGCCATGGGGAATCTTGGAATAGCAGTTCTTCCCCATGCCGTCAATGGCACTCTCGTCTCAGGAATCTTCTCCGCTGGAAACGCCCTAGCATATTATAGCACCCTTTCCCTTTACAGTCTGACTCTTGAGGGATAGGCCCCCAAAATCTTAACCAAGTGCGCATCCTTCGGTCTCTCTGTTTACTGTCTAGGTAGGTATTTATCGCCCAACACTTCCCTCCTGTGGCTGGCTCCAGCCCTTATAGCGTCTAGGTATATCTCTGCCACGTTCTTGACAAGTGTTATCTGCTGTTACGGACACAGCATATTCCTGCCTGGCAACTTTACCATCAGTGGCTTTTTCACTTATCATGCAATGGTCCTCGTTGCGCCGATCACCTTGTTTGGCCGAAACTCACTAAGTAAACAAAATTCATCAAGGCGTTCGAGGTTGACCTTGTTTGGGAGACCCTTGATCGATGCATATGAAGCGGCTTTCGACGAGGTATTTTTCGGCCTCACGAGGAATAAAAAGAGTGGCAAAGCATGAACGGATTCTGAGAAATCACATTGAATCATAGCTTTGTATCATTGCTTCATCTATAGGCTGAACTTTTGAAAGGAAAAAACAGTAAAGGAGAACTATATCAAGTGCTACCTCTCAGCGGCAGTCTCGTCCTCTTTTCCCTCTTCCTGCTCTCCATAGTTCTCCAACTTCATGTCCTTGAGACCAAGCTCCTCCTCTTCCTCATCTGTGCGGGTATAGTTCTCACGGTGAATCTTTGGGTCGGGGGCAGGGGGGTCTACGAGAGGCTGAACGTAGCTGCTGGCGAAGGGGTCGGTAAGCACAATTGTGAAGGGCTTCTCGCCACGGATGGCGGCATCAAGACCGTCAAAGAAGGCGGTCCACTGAGACTTCTCGTCGCTGGCAAGTGAGTCACCACCCTGGCCCGAGCCGTCGGCCTCGAAGATCTGAGAGTGAAGATCACCACGGACCTGGGTCAGGAGACCTTCAACAGTAGTGAAGCGACCACCCAGGGTACCAGGGTTGACCTGGAGCTTAAGCTCGGGGCACTCAAGGCCACAAGTCTCACTCTTGAGAATATCACGTGCCAGGTCGGCGCCGCCACTGACTTCCAAGATAATTTTCTCGCCCTTCTCAGGAATCTCACCACCTGTCTTGACATCGTTGGAGCGGTAGCCGCAGTCGTCACACACGGTGGACATGAGAACAACCTGCTTGAAGTGGGGAATATCAACCATCTTCATGTGTGTCGTGCAAGGATGCATGCAGCCAGGGCATGTCGCGGGGAAGCTGTAGACTTCGTTGGGGATGATTTCACCATCAGCATCCAAGCCAGGGTTTTGCGGTTGCTGAGCGTTGGCATCTGAGTCGGAGAGTCCAAGGGCGGCGTTCTGTTCAGCAGTTCGGGCATACTCGTGCTTCTCCCACTTTCCAACACCGTCCTTGAGATCAGGGGCAATGAACGAGTTTCCGGCAGGGTCATCAACCCAGACACGGAAGGGAAAGGCGTCGCCCAACAACATGGCGCGACCCTTGGCGATAATCTCAGCGACCTTAACATACACTTCAGGAGCCTGCTCCTTTCGCGCCTCTTGTCCCATCTCGAGATCCTCGATGACAGTGGTCAGGAGACCCTCGACATTTGTAAGCTGGCCACGACCAGCAGGGATCTCGAGATCCAACTCGATGAACTTGACGGTGGAGGTATCGGACTTGACAACCTGTCGCGAGAAGTCGGCGAGGTTTGTCAAACGCAGCTCGTAGTGGGTTCCTTTGGGCTGGACGGTTCCGGCAGCCTGGATCTCGTTGTTCTGGGTATGGCAGTGCTCGCAAGAGAAAGACATGATAACAACTTCGCGGAAGTATGGGATCGCAGTGAGAAGAAGTCTGGTGACACCCTATACAGCTCTGTTAGCTAGATTCCTATGCGACTTGTTCGATGATGTGTTGACTCACATTCTTGCCGCAGTTCATGCACAGAGACTCAATCTCTTCGACAGCGCGCTCGTCATCGTCGGCATTTTGGGCATCAACAGCAGCAGGCGCAAGTTTGTTAACCTTGTCACCGATGCTCTGGAAGAATTCCTCGGGAGTAAGCTTGGTTGTATCTTCGGTGGCCATTTTCAATTTTTTGTCTGCTGGGATCGAATCTTGAAAATCCAATCGTCTTTTGGTGGTTGAATCCATGGAGGGGTCATGAAATTTTTGGAGGGGCAAGCCCAGTTATGTCATGGGGTCCAGGGTGCAGACTTTGGAGGCGGGCAGGCACTAGAACGTTCGGGACACACCTGCGGCGATGACTCAGGATAGCGGGCCTAGATTCATCCGATAGGCCTAACCATGAGATGGACAGAAGTCATGATGGCAAGTCGTCCACTGATATTTCTCATTTCATAAAGTGAGAAAGACTGAGTGGATTCGTTGTTTGTTGCTTTTGTCCTGAAAGCAAAGCTTGTAAGCCGGCCTTTCGATTTTTGGCTCTTTTCTTGCTGCTAGCATTCGAGGTTTGTTTGGGCTGCTCAATAGGTGTAGAAACTTTCTTGCCTTTCGACTGTGGTGTTTTTCGCCTCACAGCTGGTCCTGGAGGCGGCATCACAATCCTGGTGTCTCGTTGACAGTTGTCGCAGTGTAAAATCTTGCAGGGTCCCTGAAGATCTTCTGTTGCTTTAGGGGTCGAGTTGCCGCTTGGCCTCTTGCTCTTGGCCTTGTTCCTCTGAAGACTTTTTCGAGCATCTAACTTCAGTGTTGCCTCTTGACCTGGGATCATGATAATTCCACAGCCTCCACATACGTGTTGTCGCTGAACATCTGACAGTGTTACGCCATATTGTTGAAGAAGATGACCGCGTTGGCTCATGAGATGAGCAGAAGTCTCTGGGGCTGTGGCCCGTAGGAGATGTGCTGCATCGGTGAGAAAATCGATAGTTCCGGGGAGTTCTGATACCGCCATTCTGGAAAGCTGGGGCTTCAAAATCTTTTGATTGTTGGAGTAAATGCGAGATTGAAGCTCAGGTTGCTTGAAAGAACCTTTGCGGACAACCTGAGGTAGACATGATGGTGAAAGCGGGCCTGATAAGATACCTTATGGGGATGTGATTGGCCAACTCGCTGACTACCTACAAAGTATTCCGTAGGCGATAATCAACCATTAACTTATATCTTTCACATTCGAAGCTGGTTTACTTATGACTATATTGCAGAGCAATCTCGTTCTTCGAGCCAACTCGAATGCATGTCGCTTATATGGCTTTTCTATCCTATCTGAATAACACAACATCTCTGTCCCCACGCTCCAAACACCAAACAGCTCACTCCAACATCAACAGAAATCGAACTTCAAGTCATATCACGACCGGCGGACTTCCCACTTGACATCATTGATGCTGACTTCCTCGTTAGACTTCTCGTCGTATTCGAACCACTCGCCCTCCTCCAAGTCGATGCCAGTAAACTTGGTCCCCGTCTCGAGGCCTTCGGCCAACCATTCGCCCTAACAGATCGTTAATATGGTCTTCATCTAGTTGGTAACTCAAATACCTCAGCCTTGAACTCGGTGAATTCGAGTCCTCTGCAGTCGAACTCGAGGATCTTTTGAGGCTTGGCTGGTTCAGTTTGCTCATAAGGAAAAGGTCCAGCCTTGACAGAGGCTGATGACTCTCGCTTTGCATAATATTAGTGAGATGAAAATAACTCGACATCAAATAACTTACCTTGCAGTTCTTGCACTTCCATACAAAGTTGGCCTCTCCTCGACTCCCACTCATCTCATTGGTCTCCTTCATAAGATATTAGTATATCGGTTCCAATTTGACGGGCCATTACGTACAAATCGGTTGACTCCAACGTGATTGGCATGAGTCTCTCGACAAGAAGTACACTGAACCTTGAACATATACCAAAAAGGGTTGTCTTGGGTATCGTCAGGGCGCAAGTTCGTGACCCTGTCATATCGGAATTGCCCCTCACGTCAGTAAAGCTCGCTTGTGTTGGTGAAAAGCTTTTAGTACATACCCTTGCAAGTCAGCTGTGAGATACAGAGCAAACATGCTGTGTAATGTGAGAAGAAACCGCGATGGTAAGTTTTGTAAATGAGTATGGAATTCTCAGATGTTAGAGGCTTTAGAAGCAAAAAGTCGTTTCAAAGAGCTCCAGCATCGATGAGCGTCTAGGTAGTGGGATGTGGTGGGGTGTGACGATAGCGCATTCCAGCTGCACCCGCGGTAAACCCCACGTGACTTCAATAATCGAATGATGTGTGACTGGCCAATTTCTTGATTGATGATGGCTCCATGAAACACCTCAATTGAACGATTGCCGACAGCAACGACCCTCAATCGCTCCAGAGCGATGTCCTGAGCTTCAGACCGCCACTTAAAATGCAGGCTTTGTGGTCGAGGGCCGGCCAGGTCCATCGCTGCGGATGTCGCGCCTGCGAATCCGTCGTGAGCTCTCTCGGCCGGAGAGTGACAACCGCGGCTCGACCACGAAAAGTCACCTTTGCCGATATCTTCACAGCATGCTACAGCTCCATGTTTGCGACTGCCGCCATCGTCGATGCCGTACGAAAGGAGGACCGAAGGCAGGAGTTGGACCGGCAATTGGAGGAGACGAGGCGTGAATTGGCACAGCTGCAACTCCGGAACCTCGAAGCAAGCCAGACGACGAATGGCATTGACTCCGCCCAGAATGAAGTGACTCTACACCAGATGGATCAATTGTGGGGGGCCATCAAGAGTCTATACACAAACCGACCATATATGAAGGAGATTTACAAACCTACTACCATCCGAATCGACGAATTCTTAAACCGAGTACATGCTGAGGAATACGAGTGCCCCGACCAAGCAACGATGGATGCTCTTAGGCGTACGGACTACGATCACCTTGAGCAAGTCATTATCCGCGAAGAAACAGATGTCAGCATCCGTCAAAGAACTCCGTTAAATACCAAACAGCTCCATAACGCCGGACGCACACTCAGCCATCTCGTTCAACAATTACTCAAACGTGCCAATGCCCATGACAAGTCCAATCTACCAAGCCCCAGCTTCGACGAGGCCATGCAACTGGCAAATGACAGGACTTCTTTCAGATATCTTGTGGAGAATGATCCTGAGAGGGTGATAAAGAACCGGGTCGATCTGAACTCTGATCTTCGCAAAGTCGTGGGTTCAGCACTGAGCCTCAAGGAGAAGGTGGGCAGGGTGTGTTATAATCTGCTTGTATCTGCATATCCAGCCGATATGCACACGTACAATACCTTGATCGTTGCTTTTGATAAGCATGGTTACAAGTATCTATCAGAGCCAGTGGTCAACTCCTTCTACTACTACCGCCGACTGAGACCAACTCCATCTACGTTTGTCGCCATCTTGAATCACTACAAGAATTCAGGCAACCATGGTCGCTTCTTGCGCAGTCTTGCAAGTCTCGCTGGTCTCGATGGCGAGACAGGTGCCAAACTGAGACGAAGACTGGCGGATGAAACATACGATGGAGCAGTTGATGAAAGGCGCAAGAGCTACAAGGTTCAGACATGGACCCAGACGGGCGACTATTTCTGGGAGCATGCGCCGCTGGACAAGCCTCTCATTGAGGCTGCTATTCAAGGCCTTTTACATATGAAGCTCTTTGATCAGGCTGCGGGGTTCTTCGTGACGTGCATGAAGGCCAAGGTTGCTCTTAGCACGCATGTGATCAGACAGTTGTTTGATGAGTGCATAGTGGCTCTTGACTGGAGATCTGCCGTGCGCCTCATCCAAGGTTTCACCAACTGTTCAGTTACATGGCCTTCAATGCTTCTCGGAAGAGATCAGGACACTTCTTACCTGATCAGCCGAGTACGGGTTCTTCTCGACCTTGCTGGTCTTCGAGATGCAAGCGGCGAAGTGCCCACATCGACTCTCGACAATTTGTCTATATCACGTTACGATTTCTGCAAGTTCCTGAGTGATCTGGCGAGCGCAGACTTGACATCTCAAATCGATATGCAAGGGTCAAGTGCACAGACTCGGGATTCGGCTTCAGACCCTGTCAGCGCTTCAAAAAGAAGGCTACTCCAGATCGAAGCACTTTGGAAAGAGCAAGACTTGGTTGGAAAGACAACACGCTCCATCGAGAGCAAGCTACTCTATCCTGAATTTTCACCTGAGTTCCGTATGTCAATGGCCTTCCACATTGGAAACGCCGCGGCGGATCAAACAGTGGAGTTGGATGGGGAAATCATGGAAGTTATGTCACAGCTTCCTCTTTCAGAACGTGTGGAGAGAGGTATTACGGAATGCAGGTCCTTTCAAGATTCGAATAATAGCCGCGCTGAGAGCGGAAATATCGTTGAGGAGGAGCAAGAATTAAGGCGAGATACATCAGATGAGCAAGGTAAGGAACAAGCCGGGAGGTTTTTACGAGATGAGGAGCTGGATATAATCTCGGCTCAAAAGGCGATACCGGTTAAGCGGATGAATGCAAATGCAGCAGAGCGCACTTTGAGAGCAAGACCAATGCGGCTAACGGCATGGCCTGTGACTGAGCAGCAAGTGGGATATTTGCAGAGGGCGAGTTTTGGGTAGGAATTGAAAGCGATGAGCCGCATGTACCGTACTTTTGATTGTCTCACTTACCTGCATTCCTTTTGTGTGCTGTACTGTATTGCACCAGCATATTAGAACCTGCATCAGCATAGAACATAAATTATAAACGTGCTTTATCATGACTTTATCACCGTGGCATACTTTTTGAGAAGCTTATCATTCCCAGTAGTTAAAGAGGTAGGTAAGGTAGCATACCTTCTTATCATAAGCTTGCTTGGTCGGTCTTGTAACAGTGACCTCGGCCACGCCCGAGTTGACAATGCGTGAGTGTGCAGCCAAAAGCGCCGCCACTAAACGTTTCCGTTCGTCACCGTGGGCAAACCCCTGGTCATGAGTTGACAATTGGTGTTTGTAGCACAGTATCTAACACACATTGAGAAAAGAGCCCAGCCAACAATGGCGGTCTGCAACCTTAACTGCGGTCTATAGTGAGTTTCCTCGTCAGCTGACACTGTATTCATTTCCAGCCGCATTGTCCGTCCCTTGGAACTTGACAGGTTCCATGGGGTCACGATGCGACCGCTTCAGTGGGTGCGCCCTGAATCGTGCCGTCCAGTCACGAGGCCATAAGGGGTCCACGGGGCCAATGGGATTGGCGGGCCCGACTCCATTTTCTTAGGGGTCCTGGTGCAGCCTGGTACAGCCCAGGTACAGCAGAGCAAGTACGAGGCGGTACTTGCAGCTACCCCAAAATGTCAGTGCGACAAGCAGGTACCTTCTCCCCCACATTGGATGGATCACATCAAATCCATGGATCCATCATCTATCGGATCGACGAATGTTGTTTCAAGAATCAGTTTGGCCTTGTTCTTTTTTTGTTTCTAGGCTTTGTTCTTAATAAGATTCTGCTTGCCTGAGGGAGCGAGCGAGCGAGCGAGTGAGAATTGGATCCAGTCAGTCCCAGTCATTTCTCCATCGCATATCTCCAGTCGCTTCGTCATTCTGCTCTTTTTCTTTCTTTCTTCCTCTTCTTCGACATCTTTGTCATACCCTCTTGGTGTCTCGAGGAGGTTCCATGAGTTATACGTCACTTGCTCTGTCACCTCTTGGTCAAGTCAAGTCGCTGGGTACTCTTTGATTGTGCACTGCGCGCAACTTACTTTGACGTCACTGGCCTGCGAGGATAAGCATTTGTGTTGCATTTGACCGGGAAAGACGAAAAAACCCCTTTTATCAGCTTGGTTGTTGGCACGGTTTGTGTGATTGCGTCTTGCGACAAGAAGCTTTCTGTGTTGAACAAGTCTAAACTGTCGAAACGCGGTGTGCTGTGAAAGCAAGCTCTTCTACACCAACACAACCTTTCTGCGCTACGGTCGCGTTGCCTACCCATCGATTTTTCTTATCTTCTTTGTTACTCCGATTGGCGATTTACACAGCATGAAATTCGGAAGAAAGTGAGTACTGATGCAACATGCGCTTTTCTTAACACAACCGGCTCACTGCTCTCACTAGTCTACCGCGCAACCAAGTCCCCGAGTGGGCGGGCTCGTATATCAACTACAAGGGCCTCAAGAAGCTTGTAAAAGCAGCAGCAGAGAAAGCAAGGAATGGAGAAAAGGTGGATCCTGCAGGTGGGCGGCTTTGACGACTCTTGGTGTCGCACACTGAGCCTCTCCCCTAACCCTCGATGCAGAATTCTTTTTCGCGCTTGATCGAAACCTCGAAGATGTCGACTTTTTCTACAACAAGAAATACGCGGAGTTTTGTCGCCGCCTGAACCTCCTCCAGAACCGATATGGACGCACCGCCGACGTAGTCGCTACCCTGGATCAGGATGAAATGGAGGAAGTTATGGGAGCTCTACTTGAGCTGAGAAGTCAGTTCAGAAATTTGCAATGGTTTGGTGAGATCAACCATAAGGGCTTCGTCAAGATCACAAAGAAGCTCGACAAAAAGGTTCCGGACCTTGTCACACAGGGTCCTTATATTGATACCAAGGTCAAGGTCAAGCCTTTCGCCAAACAAGCAAACACCACAAGACTTCTCGATGAGATTAACAAGTGGATGTCTGTGCTGTCCGAAGCCCAAACTTTCGATGACACAATGTCTGAGCACTCGACTCGCTCCCTGGGTCGTGCTTCAGCTAAGGGTATGCTGAGCCTGCCTCAAGCCCAGCTCGATGCCCTTGACCAGGCTGTACGCAACGACGATGTTCCTGCCCTCGAGGCTGGCCTCAAAACAAGCAATGTCGTCGACGAAGGCGCCCAGCCGCTGATGCTGGGTCTCTTACAGCGATCGATTTCCTCGCGTTCGAAATCATGTCTCACGTTTCTACTTAGCAACCTCAAGAGCCTGGATGAGCCAGATGATATCAACTCTCGTAACTGTATTCATCGTCTGGTGATTCACATTGGCAGGACTAAATCCGTTCCTGAAGGAGAGCAGGTCTCAAAGTCTCGACCCGTCCCTGCAGGCTCACAATTCAGTAACAAGCACCTCGAGCCTGGTCTGGCAACTTCCAAGGCGCCCAAGTCACTGAACCAGAAGGAGGCTTTACTTTTGACCAAGGATGACGAGGCTGTCCAGCTATTTATCTTTTTGCTTGAGCAATTACGCCCAGAACAGAGGGTTGCGCTCAAGAGCCGTGACTCCTTCGGGCGCATGCCGCTCCATTACGCAGCTCAGTTTGGCATTGTGGTTGTGTGTCAAATCATTATGTCCAAGATGCAGCAATGGGACCAATTCCACGTCAAGGATGGAATTGATACACCTGAGTGGCAGGATAACGATGGCTATGCTCCCCTCCATCTCAGCGTTGTTGGGGGCCATCCATTGACCACTCAAGCTCTGCTACAGGGCGAGAATTGGGAGGGAAGCAGCCCTTACAAGGCCGAAATTCGAAAATCTATCTCCAAATCGGGCGCTGTGCTAGCCATCGCTACCAAGTCCAACTACAGTGTCATCGTGCAGCTTTTGATTGATGCCGGCGTTGATATCAACTGGAGGGACAAGACAGACGAGACTGCTCTTCACGTCGCAGCTAGATTCGGGCATGAAGAGTGTGCTCGGATTATCCTGAAGGGAACCGCGGATCAAAAGGCAGATCTCGAAGCTACAGAGAGCACCTACTCATGGACTCCTCTTCATGTTGCCGCTGTGGATGGCAAATACAACGTTGTAGAACTTCTGGTAGAAGCTGGAGCAGATATCACCCGTCTTGATTCTTCAGGCTGGACGGCGAGAGAGCATGCTGCGCTGCGAGGTCATATGGATATTGCGCGACTGCTCGAGACCAACGATGTTGAGATCGAATCGCCCCCAACCCGTCCTGTCGACGCATTGCAGCCAACTCCCTCAGACATGTCATCTATCGGCGAACGTCGGTCGAATGGTAACGGAATCAACAATGGCTCGCGTGCTCCTGATGCTGCTATCAAGAGCTTCGGCCATCGATACTTGACCAGTGAGAGCCTTGTACTTGTCAGTCTTGGATCGATGGACATGCGAAAGAACATTGAACCGGTCAGTTTGGATCGTGTTCCACTTACCGAAGCTCATAACACGCAACTTGACACCGCTCTATCGATAGTTGTATCTGCTACTGGTGCCAGTGGTGAGCCCACCATCATCGATCTCCCGGTGCATGATAGCATTGCCACCGAACCTGTCGTTTTCACGACAACAGATGCAGCCAAGGTGAAACTCCTTTTCGATATCGTCCCGACTTACTCGGGCAACGACAAGCACAAGGTTGGACGCGCCGTGGCGCTCTTGTCCTCTGTCAGACAAACCCTGGGATCTAGCCGCATGAACCTGCAGGGAGATGTTTGCGTTCCTATCATGTCAAGCAGCTTCGATGTTATTGGAACCGTCAATTTCAACTTCTTGGTCATCACCCCTTTCCACCACCCCAACATGGAAATCACATCGAGACAGACGTACTGGAAGAAACTGGAGTCAACCATGGTAATTGGTCACCGTGGACTTGGCAAGAACTTGACAAGTAACAGGTCTCTCCAGTTGGGAGAGAATACTCTGCCATCCTTCATTGCTGCGGCTAATCTTGGAGCTCAATATGTCGAGTTTGATGTTCAACTGACCAAGGACCATGTTCCGGTTATCTATCACGACTTTCTCGTCAGTGAGACAGGTATTGATGCACCAGTCCATACCTTGACACTGGAGCAATTCTTGCATATCAACCCTGACAAGAATCGAGATTCCAAACAACAATCGAGAAAGAAACCTGTACCCACGGGTGAGCCAAGTGATTTCCGGGCTCGTAGCAACAGCCTAGCACCTAAACGCTCGCAATCTATGGGGTTCGCTGGCAGTGGACCTGATGAGTTGGATGAACGCATGAAGCACACAAAGGACTTCAAGGATAAGGGCTTCAAGGGCAACACGAGAGGAAACTTTATTCAAGCTCCTTTCGCCACGCTTGAGGAACTCTTCAGAGAACTTCCTCAAGAAACTGGCTTCAACATCGAGATGAAGTACCCTATGCTTCACGAGAGCGAAGAGCATGAGATGGACACTTATGCAGTAGAACTCAACTCATTCTGTGACACAGTACTCTCCAAGGTCTACGACCTTGCTGGAGAACGTCACATCATCTTCAGCTCTTTCAACCCCGACATCTGCCTTTGTCTGAGTTATAAGCAGCCTTCCATCCCCATCCTTTTCTTGACAGACGCAGGCTGCTGTGAAGTTTGTGATGTACGCGCGTCATCCTTACAGGAGGCCATTCGATTCGCCAGACGCTGGAACCTGTTGGGTATTGTTGCTGCCGCAGAGCCTTTCGTCAACAGCCCTCGCCTCATCAAGATCGTCAAGGAGAACGGAATCGTCTGCTTCAGCTATGGCACACTAAATAACGATCCTGAAATGGTTCGGGTAAGTCTGAGCACACACAAACAGATGCATGTCGATTTTACTAACCGTCATTGCAGCGTCAAGTCAAGCAAGGCATCGATGCTGTCATCGTTGACAGTGTCCTTGCCATCAGAAAGGGGTTGACTAGCGGGGAAACGCCGGCTGAGCCTGTCAACGGCGAGAATGGATCAAACGGTACCCTCAAGCCTGATCACGAGCTCAAGGAGAAGCTGGACGAGTTGACGATCAATGGCGGCGGCCCTTGAGGACAACAGAACCGATAGTAAGCGCTGCTAGATTGAATAGATAGAAAGAAGTAAGACGAACACGACCTTCAACAGTTGGCTTCCACAGAAAGACAGAAGATTCGCTCAACCCTTTTCGGGAGTGAGCTTGCAAATGGCATCTATGACACTACGGCCACGAGTGATACCCCTATCATCATTTCGAGATGACATTTGACGCCTATCATTCGTCCATGAACAAGAGTCATGTTTTGTTAACGGGTATTGACCAAGTCTTGACGTAAAAGAGTAATCAATGTGTAACTGCCGCCTATGCAGTGTGGGTGGTATTGTGATGACAACGGCTCAAACACCCCCAGCCCATCACTTCGCTTCTCTTCAGATAAGAAGACTCGTGGGTGCAGCCCAACTGCAAGTCGTACGATTCTGCAGTCACTGACAGAAAGCCATGTCTCATAAGCCTGCCTATCGCTGCTATCACGTATTCCATCCTATCTCGCGCCGCGGAAATCAGATCTACAGCTACGCCGCATCGTTTGGAGAAGGTTACAGTGACTGGGGTGCAAACTCTACATAGTTGCCGTGCTGATCTTCAAGGTTCCTCTACCAGGGCCCATGTTTTGTTCTCGGGCAGGGAGAAGAGCGAGGACAAAGATGAGGCGGAAATAGTCAACCGGCGGCTGTTCTAGGCCACAGTCTAGGTAGTCATTCACACATGTTCCTGTTCGTGCTGGATCCTCATGCATGAGAGAGGAGATGGACTCCTGTGCAATATGTATGTCGTGCCCGGAATGGGAAGCGGTATTCTCGTTTGGGATAGTTTTGTTTCATACCCTTCCTCAAGCCCGTAACCGTTACGTGAACGATAAACGTTATCCAGTGAAGTATTGCTTCGGAGCCGGCGGGATTAGACACGCAGAAGACATGTCTCAAGATCTGCCTGATCCTGGCACGCACACTGTAGGGTTCGCTCTCATCCGAATAGCGTGTGATGGCTGATCATGGTGCATTGCAGAGCAGGGTGAGGGTGACAGAGTACAGGCATCTTCGACTCACTTACTCAATCAGTAGTAGCCTGTTATTTCAACTTGGACCAACTAAATGTCGAGATACGCCAAGGACTCTGCTGTAGTTCTGGGCCAGCAAGGGTAGAAAGGAAGGTGACTTGACGACTTCCTCGACACTAGAACCTGTAGTAAGGTTTAGGAGCGTGTCTCAGTCTAAAGTGTTATCAAAAGTGCCAGCCTATCTCACCGTTTCCAAGATTTATTACATCGAAATTCGATAGATCGATGTCTTGACCTGGAGGCTTTGGTCCGAACTAAAGCAAACAAGTTCAAACTGGATATGCCGTTGATCGTCAAACAGCCTGTTAGATTGGTTGCGTCCGTCTCCTCAACTACCGATAGTTTCAGGGAAAAAGAAAAACAGGGTTGACAGTAAACCGGGAAACTTGCGCGTTGTCGGTGACGAGTCAAGCTGTCAAACGGTGAGATTGCGGCATGATCGTCCTTTAGTGGGCTTAGCTGGTCAATTGGCAGCTGAATATAGGAGCTAGAGAGCTCGCGATGTGACCCAGAAGGATTCGTGGTGGAATATCATAATCGACAACTCATGCTTGATTCAGGTAACCACGCGGTCAGTTGAGAAAACACAAGTCTCTCACACCTGATCAACCAACACCCTAGGGAAGCGCACGAAGGATAAGGCAGTGAGGGATCATGAGGAATCAAGGGAGAGCTCACCGATTCGTTTCCATTTCCCAGTCAGGACGAAGGCAGCTCCAACAATTTGTTTTAGCGAATTTAATATTGCGGTTCCGCATAGGACTGGGTATATGTAAACCAAGGAGACCTGATAGACAAGGAAATCCCTAGTTCGTAGAGAATAATATTACGCTCAATATAGTCAATATAGAGGCATCCAGGCACCAATATGGTTGACCATATACCGACTGTTATTCAGGGGATGTGAAGATGGCGAGGCGAACGAGACGTCGTAGAGCAGATAGAACAGGGCATCATGGTAGGCAGCGGTATAGCTACCATGGCAAAGGCTAACTCCGAGCCGCTTAGCCCCCCTACGATGTAACGCAGAGTATGGGCTTCTCCAACTGAGAAGATCCGCGTCCAGGATTTTATGCACGTTGAGGGGATTGCTGCAACCCTGAGAGGATGGCGGGCGTGTGGTAAAGGGCGGGAAAAGGCGCCTAAAACCCCCGTTAAGTGTTAACCCATGGAACCAGACAAGATAGACGTTGACTTTTCCCCTGTCGCCCATTGTTTCTGTTCACATACTGTACGTTCTGAGATTCTCGTATTAAGCTACCCATGTCGGAGTGACGTTTTGTGATATGTTGCTGAGATCCGGGGTCCCTAGACAGCTAGCGTTCCGTCATATATCACATTTCGGCGGGAACAAGGAGTGAGTCCGTAAGAAGAACAATAGTGGCCAGGCGCAATAGCTGTGGACTCGTGGAACGGCACGCAATTGTTTTTATCGAGTCATTTCGTTGAAAGACTGTGAGCATACTCCATTCTGCCAAGTTCGAAGCCCAGTCATTCATCAAGAGTCAAGCGATAGGCCGAGTTGAACTGAGCGAGGCTGGGCTGGGGCTGGGGCTGCAAATCCGCAACCCTGCTTATATCAATATCGTGTGGGGATTCGAAATGACACCTGGGAGCAAGGCCTGTTCAGGCAACAATATACAAAAAGCAGTGAGCAGGTCGAGCCTTGGCGCAAGATTCTCGATCAATTGATCGTCGTGCAAATTGGGAGTTGAATACCCCGGTTCTGATGATAGTTGTGCCGCCCAAAAACCCCCTCATTTTGATATGCCTCACTGCAAGGGACTCGGCGACTAGTTATGCTGAGGAACTTGTTAAAACTTGCTTTTCCTTGAGCCGCTGCATTGCTTCTTTATAACAAAAGCGTCTGTTTCTTTCCGTCATGGGCCACATCTGTGCCAACTCATCGGTGCCGGTTGGTCATGAGGGACTTGCTGAATACTGATTCACAGCATGATATAAATTGTTCTTTAGGGTAGTTCGACAAGTAATTTAATGACGTGACTGAATATTCCCTGGTACAGTACCCGCCAACGTGCCAGGGAAAAGACATCCTGAACCTGCATCATTCTCTGTATCTGTACATGTTTGAGTCCCCTGCGGAATGTCTGTCAGACTTAACCCAACCACAGTAGCGAACGGCAGAAGCAATCGTCAACTGAGTTTACCGTTCACACTACTGTGATGCCGTTGGCAAACTTAATTGTTTCCATTCGTCCTTGTTTTGAACATGTGATTATGAAGTCGAGGAACTCAAGGCACTTGGCAGATCGACAACGGAACACTGGACGTTCCGGTCTGAGGAGCTGCGAACCACTGAAACCACCCTAGATCTCGAACAAGTATACACATCGTCCAAGAAACGAAGCTTTAGTGGGGATATCAACATTATGAACTTGAAGAAATGGTGTGAGTTCATGACTCGCCACACCTAGCACAAAGTTCGCTTGCAAGGGTAGAGGGCGTGAGCTCTACCTAGATCTTCTCAGGTTCTGCTCTGCTTGATGTTTTCCGCTCCCCACAAGTGTCAGGGGCAAATGTCTGTGAGCTGGACTCGGCCGATTGCTCATCTCATCGGGATCAAACGATCAGCAGCAACCCAGCTGCCATGTCACGCCAAAGCAGAGATCCATTTAGGATGACAGGGAACAGACAGTACGTTGCCGCGCTAAGAGCGAGGTTGCCGCAGGTTGGGAGTTTTGTAAGCCTTCACTCCTCTTCGTATATTGCCTGAGGCAGATGATGGATTTCAACACAACCCCTGCTTCCTTTCCCCCTTCAATGTGATACCTTGTGACTGCAGGGCAATTGCTCTCTATCTGCAAGCATTATATGACTACAATGTCGATAAAAGTGTTGATGAGCACCCATTCTCTTGCTCGGAAGTTGATCAGCAACAGCAGGTTGATGATTTACCGCCGTCGCCGCGGTATTTGAACTGGTCCCACGCCTGCGCCATGCAGATGCCGGCGGCATCACATAAATTTCATCCAAGGGTCTCGATACATCCGCCGGTCCTCTTTTTTTATTGTCATTTCGTAAGGAGGGTCGCTCCATCGGCAGCGAGTCGGGCGGTGACAGTCATCCTACGGTCCGCTCCGTGCCTCGGTTTGTTCCAGTGTCGAACACGCTGCAATCCTGGTGCCGTTCACCTCAAGGGATATGTTCGTGCGTTATTCCAGACCCAAATTGGTGTAAATATGCTACAGGTCCGCGGCTTAGCGTACTATCAAACGCTTGAATGACTCGAGCTGTCTGGAACTTGTGACGGACCACCGTACTGATAGATCCACGATAAGGTCAGTCCGGTCCTGCATGGAGTGAAACGATATGGATACCGTGTCCCGATGTTGCCGATTGGACCTTTCATTTCTCGGTCCTGAGAGCCACGTGTGGTGTTTCAACGGTAGGGCTTAAAAGAGATCATCGTGCAATGCACTGCCGAGACTGCCTTTAGTACACTCGCGTCAATCGTTGAACGGCAGTTGTTGCGTAGTATTTGTTCCGGTTACGCACGACCATCGAGCTACTGTCTTTCATGATGAAAGATCAATATACATCTGACGAAATTTGTCCCGTCATCTCGCCCACAGTGTTCAAAGCTAGTAGAGCATGGTGGCGAAGATTTGCACAATCAACAATAATCCGGGGTGCTTGTCGAAAACTTTACGATTGATACGACCTTAATTCCATACTGTTATTCGTTCAGTCATGAGGCTGCAACGTCGCAGTCACACAACGGTCACAAACCGGCAGTCAGACATAAGATTTCCGACATGGTTGAAGTTGACACCCTTGTCGTTTTTGAGAGTTTTGTGCCCCTGGTGCAAAACCAGGTCCCAACCTTGTTGGCTAGCGCCCAAAAAGGACCTAGTTTGCGAGCTGAAGTTACACTCGTGACTTGATTCGAGTTGGGGATATGATCGTCAGGTTGGAGATCACCCGAACCAGGAC